TCTCTCTCTCTCTCTCTTTCTCTCTCTCTTTCTTCCTTTCTTACTCTCTTGGAGGTTAAACAAGCACCTTTGATCTGTTCCAACGCATCGCGTACTTTGAATGACACTTTTTCTTCATTGAAGTCTGGTTCTTCTACTATTTCCGTGCTGTATTTTCTGTAGCTTTCTTTGATGCCCAAAATGGTTCACATTGCTCGGCTTCTCAAAATTCCTGTTCTCGTTAGGGAACTCTGGTGTCAAATCAAAGAGCTTTCAATGTCAAACAAGTTTGGATTGTGATACAACACGGAAATGTACTTGTAATCTATACTTGACTACGTCAATTTTAAAATTTTAAAAATGTATTTTTTTTAAATTATTTTTTTTTTAGCAAACGAGCAAGATCATCAAAATAATAATTGTATAACCACTACTAGAAGGGCACACACATTACACATTCGAATTTGACAGTTAAGTTGTGAAACAATACCAGTCCTGCATCTAGGAAATACACATTTTAATTATGTGACAGAGAGGTTTTCCCTCAAAACGCATGCAGTCGACATCATAAATTACAATCTTTGGCCTGGAAACCGTGAATACTGACCGACCATTGTGTTTGCACAACGCAGTCGCCCATATTTCAATGGTCTAGAGAGGCGTTCACGGCGCCAACGGTCAGCCCTGCGGGTCATAAACCGCCTGAAGAGACCGTGAATTCCACACAGGTGTTGGATTCTGATTCACCGTCTCATCAGGCGACTTTGGGGGCACGGTGTTTATTCACGATTTTCTCATTACGTCAGATTGCACGTTTGAGTTGAGATAATTGAAAAATTGTTTTAAAGGGACATGTATCTCACCGAGCGCTATCAAAATATGCACAAAAAAAACGATTTTCGAAAACTTGTGGAATTCACGGTTTTATCAGGCGACCGACGCACAAGGTATTAAGAGCATTCCTATTGCACTCAGATGACCTGAGTCCGATTTCTGTTTTGGCGAATTTCTAACGAATATCTCCTGCCTTCTGTCAGGACGTTGTATCCCTGGCAGCCCGGGTTGGCCTTGACGGGCTGGGTTGAAACCCGCCTGTGGGCGAAATTATGCCTAAGGGGACGTAAAGATCATATTTTATTCTTCATTCTTCAAAGGCGTAAAGCATTTACAATAAATCAGTGACATGGACCTGTGTTTGACGACATCACCCAGTTGTGGGCAGTTTGGTTATTTTGTTGAGCGGTGGGGGATAGTGACAGGTAATATTTTGAACATTTCGCGTGGAACTACCACATGTAGGTGAGTGGTGGGAAATTGTTAGCATAGCCTGTTGACTCTTGAGGGACGAAGTGGACACATTGTTATGCGTGCAATCAGAAGTAAGCCAGTAGCAACGTTGTGGCACATTTCGAGCCATCATACACTAATCAGAGTCATGCATTTATAGTTTTCACAGTACGCGTGTTATTGCTTGTCTTTATTAGTACCAGATAAGGAAAAAAGAATTGAAAAAAAAACATGTTTGAATAAAGAAGTTTTGCTTCAATACAGCTTGTCTTCAGCGCTGTTGAATAAGCTGATGGGGCTCTCGTGACCTGGAGGACGATGTGTTTGCCTCTCATTAAATACGTCCCGGGTTTGAATCCGGATAGCGAAGGAAATTTTTCTTCTCTAATATTTTCTCCCTTTTC